GATTGACCGACAAGCGAGAATAGACAAGTATGTAAGGCACATCCGTCTTCTTGTCTTTGAATGAACCACTATCTGAAAAGTCAAGCGATGGGATCTCCGTTACCACTTTGTTGTTAATTTTTGCCCACATGCCGCTTGGCCGTTTGATATACGACACATAGTGGCCAGCCGTGACAGATTGACCTCGGTGCACCGTAACTGAAGTGAGTCCGTACTGAAGCTGTTCTTCCGGGCTGTCGCCAACGGCCATATAATGGGGGGTGAGATCTAGTTCCTCGTTGAAAGCTATGTCGGTAAAATTTTTGGGGCGTTTTTTATCCGTATCATTATCCACTGCTTTCGTCCTATCGATCTGCACAATTAGGATTTCAGGGGGCCTCCTAATGCGAGCGCGTCTGGCAGGCGGCACTGGGCGATTGCATGTCTGACATCTCTTGGTCTCCCCGGCATTTTCCAAGTACCTCGCGATCCCCTCTTCAATTGATCCTCCCACATAGTCTGGTGGCACAGCAGGAATCACAATCAGCTCTCGGTGGGATGGACAGCGCGTTTCGCACCGGCTGCAGGTTTGACTCGTATCTAGAATCGTCCGAAACATTCTCTCTAGGCGCCTTGGTTCTCTACAAAGGTTAGACTATTCCTAACGATTGGAGAGGGTACTTACTCCGGGTTTTGAGATGCTATTGCCGGGTTTGATATCAAGCCCTTCTGTATCAACACGTGTAAAAATTCAACAGCATCTTGCTCTTCAGGTTTCGATTTTGGACCTCGCTGATGCTCCCATTCTATATTTGAACCACAGTCTTTCCAAAACTCAACCAGCCGGCTCGCTAGCTCTGAGTCATCGGGAGGATCTAGCCAATACTCCATCGAGAGGAGAGCAAAATGACACGCAAGGCAACCGAAATAAGGGCCTTCTGTATGTCTAGACCGGTGTGATTTCAGCCAGTTCACAAACACTGGCGAGTGCAGCAACAACAGCCAAACGCTGTTCTTATAACATGACACCATGTCTTCGTTTGGAAACCCTCTTGACCGTAATCTGGTATATTCCTGGTTCCATTGAGGATGGAAGGCCTGAGGCTGTGTTTAAAGTTAGCAAGCTACATATCGGGAAGAATAGGGTCTCTTGGGACATACCCTGCCGTCGCCAATCTCTTGTCCTAGATTTTCCGAACTTGAAACATCCCCTGCTAGATTCCCTTTGGATACCATGAGCGGCACTTGCTCGCAGGATTGCAAACCCGCAAAAGAATATCAATCGAAGGGATATACAGTTCGGTGGCTTCAATAGACCGATAACATGGAGAAGCAGTGACGGAGGCGCAACGACGAAGTGTTTTAATGTAGAACTTGCCATTGTCGCCAATCTTCCATAAATATTTCATTCTTGCCACTTCCACTTGCAGATGGCTTTTCAAGAACAAATGCTGACAACTTATCATTATTCACTTGTCTGAATACGGAGTCTGAGTTGAAAGAAGGGTGAAAGAAAAATGAAAGGAAAGAGGGGTTTGTTGGAGTATCCAACGTCATGCCCCAAACAAAGTAAGATATCTTCCTTTATCTATCTATGAAACAGGGTCAGCTGAAAGGGTCCATTGTGTATCAAGGATTGTGTATTCACACAAAATAGAGCTTCACTTAAAATAGGACCAGGTGTGTAAGGTGGATTTTTATATCTTTGCTACTATTTTATGAAGAGCAGCATTAGATAGCAAAATAGACAGACAAACAGGAGCTAGAAACGCATGCACAGTTACTAGTGCACTAGTATTGTGAATCATAAAGCAGATTTCAATGACATTTTTGTTCCCCTTGTCCAGCATTGAAATTGAACAGAGGTTGATGCGGTCGTCTCCAGGGATTGCTTAGTCACGCATACCAGATCACATGACCGCTCCTTGCTGCGGGTTAGCGACAAATCGCCAGCATCAATCTCACCCAACCACGAGAAACTTCAGACGACAGTGCTTGTCCAAGCAGCATCCACGGTGTTGAATGCATGTATACACAGCCAGGTACAGAGCAGCCGCTGCAGTCTAACCAACGTTGTGAAATTTCATCTATTCAACTGGTTCGGGGGACTATGTCTCCTACAACAGTACTTTTTTTCTTTTTTTTTACCCCCCCCCTTCTCTCGATTAAACAAAACCTGAAAAGGGCATCCATCTCTCCTATCTTCATCAAAACTTGATTGTGGACATGGGCTCGAGAGAAGCATCAGGATCGCAAGAGACCCTTCGATCCCGCAAAGGTCTCGACTATCGAACTATGGGACGGTCCAATGACGTCCAACCCTCACCGCCTTCTGAGCATATCTGGCCAAAGCCAACTCATCAGGAATACCAAGGACGAACCATGCAGCGCACAATAATAATACTGAATTACGAAAATTCCGCTTCTGGGATACTTCAAGTCTTGCGGTACCCCATCAACAGTTCAACCCTGATCAGCATTCCCACATTCACGGACTGACCGCTCCCGTCTGGATATCTCCGCCGTTCATTCACCGTGGAGGGCAAGGCAGACCAGACCGCCTTGCGGTAATTGAACGGCCCAGGAAGGTTGACTAGGGCCAAATGCCTGTCGACCCTGCTTCGTTGGGCATCTCACGCTTGAATCCTGCATGTGGGCCGAAAGTTTTTGCATCTGATGCCTTGGAGGCCCCCTCGTTTTTATCGAAACCTGAATTTATTTTACCAAAGAAATGAAAAAACACATTGCTGGCTTCCCGAGTGCATGTACATGTCCATGCAGGCAGGACGGCACAGTTGCAGCCTCACTATGATAACAATATGGCTTCAAAGTGAGGTTGTCCTCCAGTGGTCTAGATTTGGATGATGAACTGTATACAGGGATACTGTAACTCCCATCCAATCCCACACCATGGAGATCTCGGATACTTACCAAAGGACTAAGTCTCCAATTCTTACTTTTTGGTGCCTGTCGGACCAGGAGTCAGGCCGCAAAGGCGTGGCACCATCTATGGCAGTCTGACAGTCGACAAGATGATCTCTAGGGGCGCTAAACTCAAAAGCCATGGGTTGCCGCGAACTATTGCCAGATAGATGCAAACCGGTCAATGAAGGGACGGTACCTTGCAACGTGGACACTGCGTGGCGAGGTAATTCCAAAGAATTGCATACAATAACCTGGAGAATCCCACAATTTAGGCACCATGGTTCGTACCCCCTACATGACAGCACTGAGGGGGGACGTGTTCAATCAGCGATCGCCCCAATCAACTTTTGATATATGCAGAATCGGGATATATTCTTTCTTAAAAAAACACACCTTCTCCATTAAACACTTTCTAGGCCCTGATGCACCTCCTGTTCGTTAGTGACCCCCTATGGAGCCTGTCCAGTCAGAAAGCAAGCTTTTTTTAAAGCCGATCGTTCCCGTTCAAAATACCTACAGACCGATTGTGAACTGGTGGAGCCTCGCCTTGAAACGAACGAACATGTCATCACCGTGAAGTTTAATTTCTTCCTTTCTCTGCCCTTTCTCTGGTTGACCGCCCTCGGACTCCACGCTGTCTTGCATTGCAGTGTTTAAAATTTTTGATATTTTCAATAGATATTGAAATATGGATCCTGACGTCGTTCGCAAATTTTCACAACGGACGGTGATACAACTGTCAAATATTACCCTTGGGAAAAAAGAAAGGAATGAGAGAAGCTGTATCTTTTTGCTGCTAAATATGGACTACAGATTCCAGCTCTTGGTATCGACTCAGCCCCCCTTTTGACGTTCACTAAAGATTGACCAGCACACGATTTACTACTAGGATCCTGCTAGATCTTCGGCTAGCAAGATATACATCTGTGGGATTAACTTTAGAAAGCGGCCATCTTAGCGTTGTCCGTGCGTGCTACCCAGAGCCAAGGCGATGACGGAGTCATTATTAGGGGATTACGACCTCGTCAGTACCCATCAAAGTTATACTACTCGGCGCAGAAAACGCATAACTGAATATGAGTTGGCTTCGTCTGATTGAATCTCCATTCCGACATCGTGCCGATTTCGAAAACCTTCCTACCTACTTACCGCTGCTGTAACGGCCTACATGATCCATATATCCACATGTGACGGAAACATTCTACAATCCCTTATAATCATGTTGTTTTTGAACAGGCAATACAACAGCTAACATCGGATATAACACTTCGACCTCCATTTACACGTACCTAGTACGGTTGAGCTACAGCCTTGGGAGAAAACGATTTAGTCGAAACTGGCTATTATGCTTTAAACACCTACGCTCTTGTCCAGGGAAGTTGATCTCATTTAGCGTCCGGGATCTGGCCATATGTGTGGAAATTGTTGGGGACACTGAAATCTACGGACATACATATTGCTACTCCGGACTTTAGGACATGCACCACCAATTGAAACTTTAGATTAAAAATATCTCTGGCCAAGTATTGACTCCGTGCTGCCGACCTAAAGATATCCAGACTCGAACAATTTGGAACATCACCCTTGGCTTCAGGAATCGGAACATATTCCCGCTTTGGATTATACCACGTAAATAGCTAATTGAAGCGAACAGTTCATCGAAATCAAGGGTGAACCATCCGAAACACCGTTCGTGCAGTATTTGACAGGGGAAATAAACAACTTTTGATAGCCAGGATCCGGCTTATATTGGTCTTTATTTTCAGCCCCCTCGGGGGATTACCGAGACAGGGCCTTCTCCTGGCAGCATGGGGAAGAAGTCTAGATCTATTTCATTAACTTGAAATCACCAGCGCACTTTTTAATAATGGCTAGAACCGCTTACGATCGCCCAAGTGTCCCTGGTGACGCAGTTCCAGCCAGCGGTGATCAATCTATTCCAGGTGATACCGGCGAACCGCATATGTATGGTTCGTGATTGCTATATTCAGGTTAGATAGATACTGCACGGCAAACCATTCCAGCCTCCATCTCACGGAGTACGGAGTATAAAATGCAGGATAGATTAGAAAGATAAAAAATAAAAAAAAGATATTCGACCGACGCAGGACTCGAACCTGCAATCTTCCGCAGACTGGAAAGTAATTGAACCGGAAACGGATGCGTTAGCCATTACGCCAGCCGGCCGTTATTGAGGTAAGTGATCCACAAAGTGCATGTTGAGCCAAACTTAATAAATGGCCCCGTTTTCAGCCTTGGAACGAAGGCGATTGGCTGGAACTCGCCATAGGGCTAGCGTGGTCGACCTCCCTTCTCCTCAGGCTTGCTTCATCTCAAACTTATCGCATACAGCAATCTCATTTTACCAGCAAAGTGTCTGATTTATGTCTCATTGAAGACTCATTCTCAGTGTATTCCTAGTTGAAAAAATCGCTATGAACTCATACTTACTAGTTAACCACATCCAAGCGCGAAACCCACCCAACTTGTGTTAACTGGGCAATAAGCCGGAAAATGCCCATATATTCAAGGAAATGGGAACTGAGATGGTATATTATTGGTGTCGTGCATTTTCCTGTACCATATATTTTATTGTAAATACATGGCTAATATAAATTTAGGTTTGTTGCTTCGTATTTCTCCATCTAGGCAATCGGAGGTGCGAGCCTACAAGGGATACCGTTGAAGCTGGATCATTGCGAGCGTCAAGTTGCTTTCTATGAAAATCCTGCTCATATCTATTTCAGCATTGATGGCTGCATTTCATGACAGTCCATTCGGTTGTGGATAAATCACCCATCTAGTCCGGTGACTAGTGATAAATGCGCGCTCAGAGTTGGATTCTGTCACTATCCCTTGAGCTTAACACATTATCCGGAAGTATACACTGGCACATGGTGCTAGGCAGCGAGTTGGATATACAGGAGCCTGGCCAATATGCCCTATCATTCTTCGTTCGGAGACTCATTGTTAAAATAGCCGCAGCTTATGCTTCTTTTGCCTCCTTTTGACGCTCCTATAGAATGGACCCTTTGTGTAGGCAATATCATAATCTCCCAGCTTGAAATTCGAATGTTGTCGCCCCAACTATTGATCATTTCCCAAGACATCTTACCTTTGAAGACTCTCTATTAATTCCAAACTGCAGAAGCCGAGGGCAATGTCAAATTTACTCAGATGATGGCCCAAAGAAACCGGTCAGTATACAATTCGTTGCGTGGGCGTACGCCTCGAAGAGCTTGGCTGCATCTTCGTGGAAGATGAAATCCAATCCCAGGAGGAGACAAATACGGAGTAGAAGTAGTCCTCAGTTCATTATTCTACTAGGTGTGAGTACTATGAATGACTATTGAGCTTTATCTATTTATCTCAAAGCGTCTTAAACCCCAGTCGACAAATAGGCTAGTATAAAAGCTTTTACGGTCAAGAGGGGTAGCTAGATGCCATTTATATAACTATAAGAGCAATTCTATTATGAAAAAAACATAGGTTCAGCCCTGAAGTGATTGAGTGATTTCCCGATTTGGCAGACCTTGACAGGGGCTTGTGTGTTTGATATCGCCAGAGGACTTTATCAACCACCAAATTATCAGGAATATTGCCCCCGCCCTGTTTGCTTTCATACAGCTTCTATCTCGATTACATCTTCCTGTTACCCTCTCTTTTCAAATTGAACGACAACAGTGCCAGCGAAAGAGGCAGAACCAGTGCCCCTCCTGGTTGTAATGAAGGGGTACGAAGTGCTGCCTCCTGAAACCAAGGCGCTGTTCTCAGCATTGTTTTGGATTCTCTGATATTAATAGCGAGAGCAGTGACCTACCGTGATGGTTCTAGAAGGGTATCGCTGCCGCTTGAGTGTATCGGGTCCCTGTCCAGAAGATCCCTTTGTACGCCTCCCTCCCAAGGGGGTGTTGGGATAATAAAACGCTCCACCCCAGGCGGCATAAACCAGCCTCGCTGCCAACCCCATCATCTCCTCAACACACTCCATACGCTCTTGGCTCGTTATTGATCATGCCTTGACGTCTAATTTATCTCCATGTCAGAGCGGACGCGGGCTATCCGTGCTTGTGTTAGGTTACATGGAAAACAAGGTTGTACCCCCTCTCCCCCCACCGTTCTCCTGTGCGACTCATGATTATGCTTAAACCGATGTTCCCGGAACAATAATCCGCAATTATAAAACCTTCTTTTTTTAATATGGGTTTTATTGAAAAAGAGGGGGTATTAAACGGTACTTCCTGCGATCTCACTGGTGTTTCAGGTTTCTTTTTTATTAATTATTTAATTAGTATGATCCCCAGGATTGTTGCATGCTTGGCCCTACGAGCGGAGCAACGGGTCTTACAAGCGTCAATCCTTCCACCTGGTCGAGACTTGTGCCCTCCAGTTCCTGTGTAAAACCTTGCGTGGAGAACTTATTAGCCACAGACGACACGGAGCGTTTGGGACCAGGGTTGGCCGGTGTGGCCGGTTGATAATGGGGCGGAAACCGGGCGTCGGGGCAAGGTCTGGGAAATTCTAAATTGAAGAATTGATCCACGGAGACATATGTTCGTCTCACATTGATACCATGGCAGGGCCGATGGGTTTCGCGCAATATGAATCAATTGCCTCATGGAATAGCGGAGGGCGAAGGAGGGTTGATCGTCCTGTGTCCATTAACCGCCTGTCCAATCGATCTGATGCCGATACCGATGATGGGGGTATCATACCTCCCGAAGTCCGATTTGGTTATGGACCTGTTTGGAACTTCGACTGCATGAACTGCGCCGCTTCACTGACAGGCAAATGGCATCTCAACAAAGGAGGAATAAGTTCGTCCTTGGTTGCCCGAGTCGCGTGTCTTGCTTCCAGCAGTTCCATTATGCTTCGACGCGCTTGGTTGGCGCATTGCTGGATGGAACAAAACCCCGACAGCCGCAAGACGCAACGCCCGGTTCAACTCAGCCCCATCATGAAATCATCGCTCAAGAGTGATTGGGATCCGTTGTTATTGAGGGGGGACCTTACGACCTTACGGGAAATGGTATTGTTGCCCAAATACCACACGCCTTATTGGAAGGGTATAATTTTCGTTCTGCTCTCGTCACTCTCCCCCGGCATACTTAAGCTAATTCACAGTGGCTGCCTGATGAGGGAGTAACCAAGCAAATAAGACTGGGTATGAACTGGATATCAATCCCCAGGTTGCATGGTTTCCAGCCAGGTGAGCGGACAAACTGCTTTCTCGAGCGGAGCTAGTTAAACACCTTCCTCCTTGGTCGAATGTACTAATTACCATGCGGCAGCGGCAAAACAGCTGAGTTTCTGTATTTGTTTCTCGGGAACTGAACCACCTGGGAATAGTTCCTGGAAGATCGGAGATCGCGGTGTGGGAAATACAGCGGTGTCTTCACCGCCTGAGGCCACAACACATACACGATGCAAAGAAAGCCCTATTATTAGGGCCCAACGGTTGCGTCAGAGGCATGCAAGACATCTTTAGAGGCGGTGCCGTCGTGGCGATTGCCGAACCCCTTGCAAAATTCCACGGAGACCACGAGCAAACCGGCCTCCTTAATTAATAACCAGATTTTTGATAGGCTGTGACATACATATTCCCATGTCATGTGCTAACAACCATAACATGGGGGGGTTCTTGTCAACGGAGGCCCAACAAGGCCAAAAAGAGAAGACTCCTCAGAGATTCTGGGTTTTGATAGCCGACATATGCCACATGGTCGCGGAATAACCTGTGGCGATGCAAGTTAAGGAACACAGACTTTCGGGGCCATCGTCCGGGCCGGACTTCAATGCCACAATCGACCCTTTGGGCCTTTGACAAACTTGGGAGAATTACGAACAACTTTTTACCTCGAAGAATCGGCCCAGCAGGCTGTTGCCCCATATCATATCCCATGCCCTCGTTGGGCGTTTATATGAATGAAATCGCCCTAGCTCTCATCGCGAGTTGATGGCATGGCTAGTGGCTTGATCGATTGTGGTTCGCGAGCAGCCTGACAATCAACTGGATCCAGTGCGAAATCCCTGCTGCATGACATGACAGCGAATCTTTCACGATATTTTCTTTTCTTTTGCCGATCTCTTGGTAGCTTGGGTCGTTACCACTCGCATGTGCCCAGCATTCATGACGCCAGAACGGTTATTGGGTGGGGAGTTTAACTATGTTTTTTCTTGGTTTCAATTTTTCATTACAGTTCTCTACAGCTCTTTGGTATCCGAACTTGAAAAATTATCGGAGAAATGGTATCATGCTAAATACGGGGCGCTTGAAGTATCATACATTGTGTCTTGCCGACGTGGTCTTCTTCATGATGAAACCCACAGTGAAAACGGCCCTAAAATAAGCAGCGAAACTGTGGTAACTCCCCACACCTGACACAAGGCCTTTTGGCTGGCTGGGGTTTGGCTCTGGCGATCCCCTCATTGAGTCCCGAGGCAAACGAACCAATACCATAACTGCTGGAGCAACAACCGGCGGGAGGATCAGACATCAGAGTGCGTCGATGTCATTGTGCTCCCTCCGCAACGCTTAGTTTCCCTGTTAATCGGAAAATTTATGGGCGACGATGCTGTCGGCAAGTCTCAGATAACTTACACGGTACCTACATCTGTGTGCGACATGAATTGCATTATTCAACCGGGTTATACCTGGTAGTATATTGGATCGAGAAGCTTCGAAGAACCGTCTTCTCCTCACCGCATAGATATAGTGTTTGGGCGCTGATTGGCTTGAATGAAAGCAAAATCGGTTCCTAACAAGGGAACTTCCCTTGAATAATTGCTTTTTCGGGCCCTTCGCGAGAGGCTGGGGAGCGTACACCGCAACCTGATGTGCTGTCCGGGATTTTGTTGAAATTCTGGGGAACAACTATGTTGACTTGCCGGTACGAAGATAACTGCATATGAGCATCTAGGTGCCCCTAACACGTAGCTTTTGTTTGATATCCAACTTCAGAAATTGGCGGAGAGAATCGTTCTTCCATTGATTTACTGACTGGAGGAAAACCAAGGTAGTTAAACCAAACAAAAAGGGCAGGAATGGCCATATAATTGACATGACAACTCAGGTTTTTCCTTTCATGATTTATCTGCGTTTCAGCAATCCCTGATACACAGGCCTCTGAGAGAGAATATCCTGTCAACTTTAACATTTTAACCATTTTTCATGCTTTATTTCTTTT